CCCAAACACTGAACTATTATTCCTGCCTACCATTATTGTGCAATATCTCTCACTCTGCAACCTAGTTAAAAACAGACTTTCTTCCCCAAACGCAATATCTCTCACTTTGCAACCTAGTTAAAAGCAGGTTTTCTTCCCCAAACGCTGAGCTATTGTGTATGCTCACCATTGCTGCACTCGTGTTTCTCATCTCATAATCTGGAAATCCTAACTTTCAACTCGGCAAAATCGAAGCTTCGCCGTTTGAGCAACCCTAATCAAATCATTGAGATCTTTAACTCAACTCTTGAGCTAGTAGGCATAGTTAGGGATCGGTATTTGATGGACCTAGCGATTAGGCATCTTGCCAAAGCCCAATGTTTATCTGAATCGAAATCTTACTAAAAACTAGAAGAAAAGCCCCTTATATCAAATCACAGAAGTTCTTACATGGCCTTATTTATCTCTGGTCGAGCTAAAATGGTAGAGCAAACCACTTACCAAATGGATGAGTTTGGAATCCATCGTCCTCCTGTAGATTACTTCAATGCTCTTTAAGTACATGCAAAGATGCTAGGGATGGGGAAAAAGGCCAATGCCATTACTTAATTTGCTGCTGACTTGTTATTGTAAAAATGGAAAATCTGCAGAGATGGAAAAAAAGGGTGGTTCCCAGATAGATTTGTCATTCATGTTTTTTCTCCATTTTCTATATGAAATAGATGATTAGGGTTTGCACATGAACGGTTTCATGGACCGTATTAACAAAAAAAAGGCTCCTGATTTGGAGGCTTAAGGCTTTTTAATTAATGGTCTAGTGAGAAATTCAAAAGAAAAGTAAGAGAGGTCAGCAAGCTAGTTACTCATACTAATCGAGTCATCCTAAATAGAGAAAGATCATCAGCTTGAGAGGATATCTCACGTGTCTTTTACATCTCTATACCCCAAATCTTCAATTCCAAATAGCTCAGGCCATTCACATACTTTACCTTCAAGTCCAAAAACAAAAAACCTTAAGAGATCGACTCCAGATTATTTTAGAGAGAAACCCAAGTCCAAAAAAAACCTTAAGAGAATGATGCCAGATCAATTTTACAGAGAGAAAGAGAGAGAGAGAGATCAAATGGAGAGGACAAGACCAGCAACCCACCTTCCTGCCCATTCTGACAACCTGCTCGACCAAACCTGCGAGCACTTCAGCACTCGAACGCATTTGAGAGGAGCGAGCAGGGTTAGAGAGAGAAGCAGATTGTCAAGAGAGATAAGGTGTTTACAACAAAAGAAAAGGTGACCGGCTTAGCAGGTCACTTTGCCCGTATCTGGAGGAACCACAGTAACTGATGATAGGTACATGGGGTCCTACAGAGCCATCGGTGTGTGAGGGATGCACAAGGTCATTTCCCTTTTATTAAACACTGTATGCTCTTTACGGACTGCAACTTGCTTCTTGTTTGTACAAAAATTTTCTGCAAGTCTTTTTTCTAGGAAAGAGAGGCGTGAGAAAGAGAAAGAGAGAGAATCAACATTGAGATGATGATTATAACTCAGTGAGAACTGAGCAAATATTGATTAGATCCATAGTTATTCGATTTCCATTTTACCACGGAGATTGAATTTTAGGTTCCCAACAAGAGAGACCACCATGTCTTTTACATTCAATGGGGAGTTGAATATCCTTAACAATTGAGGATTGGAAATTATCTTTGTTTACAAAGTGATAAATGTCCCTCCTCATCTTCTATAATATAATCTCAATGTTTTTCTTTTAATGCTTCCTTGATATTTAGTACAAATTTAATTGTTAATTCTCTCTATCATGCGGCTAATTTCTTATTATTGAGGTGCTTGTTTACCATTATTTTTTGGAATAGTTTGCGAAGGAAGTCCACCCTACTTTTGCCAGTTTAGATGATTCATGTGCTCTTTCTCCTGGTTTAGTATATGGTTAACAACTTAGGAGCGCTTACCTGTCTTTAATTCCTTTTAAATTCTGTAGAACTAACATTTGAGGGGGTACCTGATTTCTGGTGTGACTGAATTAAATTTTGTAGAGCTTTTCAAATTTTGAAGAAGTGACTGTAGCCTGTAGTTTTTATTGGCCGCAATATATTAGTTTTTTTTTTTTCCTCTCCAATTGGACCTTTAACAATTCTGTCTGCACTTAGAACATATATTAAGCATTTCTTCCCTTGGATGACTTTGTCACTGCTCACTACAAGAATCCTTAGCATATGTCTAGACAGATAGAAATACATTCATGACTGCAGGTTGAGGAAACCAACGAAGCGCAACAAAAGTTTTCTAATGCAAAATATATTTTATTAGCTAAGTTCTTTGGGGATCAAAACAATGCCGGTGATGCTTCTGCCCAAATCTCCTTGCAAAAGTTCTCAGTAATATGCTTGTGATGCTAATTGTAATGTTCTAGGGCAGACTATGTGGATTAACTTTAGTTGGGAATTTATAATTGAACAGATCTGTGGAACACATTTGATATTGGTCTAGAATATAATTTGAAAAAGTCAAATTTTACAATATTTAAAAACTTGGATAGTGGTTTGACTCGTACCTTTGGGTGACTGCTTTCACCCACTGGTTCGAGTTTCTAAACACTGGTTTTATTTGTTGAATTGATATTCTCTTGTAAACATGTATTATATGAAAATTGTTCATGCTTTTACGATATTGTAAATTATAGCATTTTTATACTTATTGATATATTATTAGATATCGACACATTCCTTCTCCATGTTTCACGATTTGTTCCCATTGTGTTCCTCACTTGGACTTTCCTCTTGTCATTCATCAGAGTGATACTCTAAGCAGTATAACTGTAGCTTTTTGGGTTCGCTATTTAGGTCTTGAAAGTTTACTTATAGAAATATTTGAGTTATATGCCCTTTAGTTCCATCCAAAACTTTCACTTATTAGCAAAGAGGTTGGGCTTACTAGACCATTCCTTCCTCAAAGAGACCAAGTAGTGTGGCGTGAAGTAGGTTTGTTTACACTGTCATCGCATAATTCAGTTAATGTTTTGGGGATTCCATCATTTCATTCATCTTGGATTCTGGTTCCTTCTTTTAAATCTAATGTCAGTTCATGTTTTTGGAGGATTTTGGGAATAGCAAGGGAAGGATTTATGACGAGCAGGAATTGGACTAGATGGTCTCACATTGTATAGACCCTTTTGCATAAATAACTTTGAATAATAACATATGATAGATAATCTGGAAATAGAGTGGTTAATATGTTGGGCATGTTCTCCTTTGTTAATTGCAGTTTCTTTATCTCTGTATTGCTTTGTTGGTAGGGAGTTTGGGGGAGTGATGGATGGGTAATGAGAGTTTGAGGCAGGACTCTTAAGGGTCATAAAAGATTTTCTAATAGTGATAGTGATTATGTTTGTCACATGATCTAGATTTCTAGGAGACCTAATTTGTGCCCCTTACTGATGAGGATGACTCTCAATTTTTGTGAGGTAGACTATGGCTGCAGGATGGGTTGGGTTGGTCTCTGTTTTACATGGGTATGGGTTCATAAATGTAATGAGACAGAATATCATGGTTTTGAATATGGGGCTGCGATTGTTCCGGAAGCACTTGGTGTCCTTTTTTAGAGGGAGATTCCCTTAACTTTATGTGAGGTGGCTATCCAAAGAAGTGAAGATCCTGTCAACATTTTGGATATCTTTCCTGATGTGTAAAGTTCCGAAGTAAGTGAAAGTTCCAAAGTAAGTGAAAAATCACCATGTTTTCTAGGCTGATCCAGGATTAATTCCTCTTAATAGTTTTTGACCTGGTATTTTCTTTGCGTTCTAAGTCTATTTTCACTAATAAGATAAGTTTCATATGACTGCCTATTAATTATATCTTTTCTGCTCCTATTGATATATATACATTGTCATTTTGTTTTGCGCTTTATGTTTTCTTCATGTTAACTGTTTATTATTTCTTTTATTGGACCATATGCAGGTTACTAATTGGACTTGAGGTGAACAAACTCTCAGTTCTTATTTCTTCATATATATACATATATTAATTGGACGTGTGTGGAACCAAAATCATTGTTCTCATTTCTTTTTTTATATATGTATATATATATGGGAATGGATTCTGTCAGACCACAGGTTGACAACTATAGTGTCAGCCAATGGCCCAGATTGAATTTGGGCTGATCAGATAGTCACGACCTTATTTAGAATTTGAATTTTTCATTTTTTTTCTACAAATTCAAATCACTTGAAATTTTAGGTGTGCATTCTATTCATCAAGACGTACTTTTTGGGGGTATTTTAATCAATTTATTTGTGTGAATTGTTTTTTTATATTTTTATTAGAATCTTCTATTTTTGAAGAATAGATGCTCAAAGTTTCAAGTTATTTGGATTTGTATAAAAAAAATAATAAAAATTCAAACGCGAAATAAGGTCGTGACCATTGGATTGGACCCAGATCGTTGTCTGACACTGTAGCTGTCAGCCCGTGGGTTGACAGGATCCTTTCTCGATATATATATATATATATATATATATATATATAAGATACTAAC